GGCACCAACAGGGGCCAAAGCTCAGGCCCCTCCCGGCTGCGCGGGCTCCCGCCCATCCCGAACCTGGAGGGGCCCAGAATGGGGACTCCAGAGCTGGCTGGAGCCCTGCTCTGCCCCTCCCTGGTTTTAGGGCTCTCTCTGGGGCCTCAGTTTCCCCATCATCCCAGGCACATCAATTTCAGTGAAATGCGTTCGGATCCCAGCGTGTCCACACCTGAGAAAAAAGGGAGCCTCCTCCGGACCAGCAGTTAGTGTAATAGCTATTTCGCTGGACTCCCATGTAGTCCACCGCGGTTCGAGTCCCGGACCCAGCAGCTTAAACTCACACCAGGCGGGTGTGCTGCGTGCCCAAGATCCGGAGAGAAGGGATTGCGGCCTGGCCATCCCCCCTTGGGGGTGATTTCTGGCTTTTTGTCTCTCTGTCTCTGTCTTTCAGTTGAGCGCCTGTACCCTATAGCAAAAAAAAAAAAAAAAAAAAAACTCTTCCCCCCCCAAAAAAAAAAATTCTTTTTCTCAAGCAATTACCACATTGACACTATTGGTGGAAACACTTCCTGTTTTTAAATGTCTGCAACAACGTTTTTTTAAAAAACGTTTTTTTAACAAGCCAAAGACAAGGGCTGGCAGGTGGTGTGGAAGTTAAGGTCCCTGGACTCCTCACATGGCTGACTGCAGTTCGAGTCTCAAACCTGGCAGCTTGCTTTCTCACTTTCCCTCTCTCTTACTCTATCCCTCGCTGGTCAAATTTTTAAAAAATAAATAAATAGAGTTAAATCAAAGAATTCTTTGTAAACAAAAAAAGCCCAAGAAAGATCCAGGGGCCACATTGAACCCTAGGGGCCACCCATTGGAGGCCTCCCTTTTCTTGCAGAATACAAGAAACCCAGGCTTGGGGGGGGGGGTTCTCTTATCTGTAAGCCTCCAAAAGAGCACTGCTTGACATTATTTTAAGTTTTGATATATATGTTTGTCAGATTAGGTAGCTGTTTTTAAGCAGAGGGTCAATTCTTGAGATAAAAATCCACCCAATTTGTTTATTTATTTCACAATTGTTTATTAACACCTGTTGAATTCTGGACATATTCTCCAATGAGCTGATAATTATAAAAATAAAAACAAATTAGAATGAGGAAACAAAACAATAAGATTGGTAAAGACCAGAGACTGTAGAGGGAGTAGGGGAATTAAGAAGATGAGGGAATCAGGAAAAAAAAAAAAAAAAAAAAAAAAAAAAATAAAAAAAAAAAGAAATAATAAAAAAAAAAAAAAGAGATCCAGGCTGGTTGGGGGGAGGGTTGGACGCTGGGCTACCCAGCCCTGTTGGGGTGCTCACCGCTGCGGGGGGTAGAGGCAGCCGTGGGGTGACTCCATTCACTCCAGATCCCCGCTTTCTTGGAGCCATAGATGCCGAAAGGGTTGCAACGCACTTGCACGAAGTACACGGTGCCAGGCTTCAGGCCGGCCAGGCGGCAAGAGGTCTGGTTGCTTACGTCATCCACTACCTGGGCTACCCAGCCCTGTTGGGGTGCTCACCGCTGCGGGGGGTAGAGGCAGCCGTGGGGTGACTCCATTCACTCCAGATCCCCGCTTTCTTGGAGCCATAGATGCCGAAAGGGTTGCAACGCACTTGCACGAAGTACACGGTGCCAGGCTTCAGGCCGGCCAGGCGGCAAGAGGTCTGGTTGCTTACGTCATCCACTACCTGGGCAGGGAGGGCGGGGTTAGAGGGGGCGTGGCCTGTTGAACGGGCGTGGTCTGTTGGCTGGGCGGGGCTTGGGAAGGGGCGGGCACCTTCCAGTCCACGCTGTCCTCCACGCGGTAGCGGATCTGATACTTGGCTTGAAAGAGGAAATCTTTGAGGGCGGGTGGCGAGACCCAGCGCACGCTTAGCTGGTCTTCCAGGCCCCCAACGCGGCTCACGTGCACGTCGGGCGGGGGGTCCGTGGTCACTGCAGGGGTGGAGCAGGGGCTGGTCAACTTGGGGGCGGGGGGACTCTTTAAGGACCTGGCTGACACCCCCCCCTCCCCGCGCTGTGAAACTATCTGGGTCCATATCTCCCAGGAGCGTGGGACCAACAGGTGGCGTAATGGTTCCGTCGCTGGGCTCCCATATAGTGGGCAGCTGTTCGAATCCTGGACTCGGTGACTTGAAACTCAAGGGCGCCTGCCCAAGATCCCGAGAAGACATGGAGGAGGGATTGCAGCGTGGCTATTTCCCTTTTTTTTTTGGGGGGGGGTAGTGATTTCTCTCGCTTTCTGTCTCTCTGTCTCTCTCTGGCGAGAGCGCACGCACCCTATAACAAATCTCTCAAAGAAAAAAAACATCGCAGAAGCCAGGGCACGTGACTTAGGTATTCCGTGCCTCTGTTGTCCCCCCCCCCTTCTCTCCTTCTCTCCACTCTCATTTCTTGCAGAGCTGCAGGATTACGGGATATGATATTCAGGAAAACCCTCACCACCTAGACGTGCGCAATGCATGTCAGCTGTTTTCACTACGACTCTCTGCGACGGGAGAGACATAATCCTATCTTCGGGGAGTTAGGAAAAAGCAGACTGTCTGCTTAAGAGGCCAAGGGACAGTCAGGGCACCTGCCCCACCCCCGCGCCCCCCCCTTCGCTCCCACTTTCCGAAATCCTCAACCGGACCACCGTTCTGCCCAGTACCCTGAATTCCTCCTGGTCCCTCCCTCCCACCGTGTGCCGCGAGGCGCTGCTGGCTTCTCCCCTGAGGTCTTGGTGCGGGGGCCCGAAAGGGTTAAAGGCCCAGGCTTGCTTGGGGCTGAGAAAGACCCTAATTAGATTAGGTTCAATTCTGCTCACAGACCGTCCATTTCCTGCCTCCCGCCCTGACGCCCCCTCCCTCCACACACACACCTCCAGCTCCAGGCCAGGGGCTTCCTGGGGCGCCTCCCGACCTGGGCGCTCCCTCCCTGCTCCCTCCGGGGGGCCCCCCTCCTGCAACACCTGGGCTGCAGAGGGGAGGGGGAGGCGGCCCAGCCAGGTGTTCTCCATAGAGTGGGGCTTCGCCTGTCTGTTCCAGACCGACGAGCAGAGACCCCGCTACTTTTCCACGTGGACAGAGCCAGAGTGGCAGCCATGGCTGGGTGGGGGACAGGGAGGGCCCCCAGGAGATGCTGGGGGGGGGTGCCTGGCAGACCCTGGGGGCTCACCCACGTCCAGGATGTCCAGGGTCAGCACATCGGAACGAGCCGAGCCTAGGCGGTTGGTGGCTTCCACTCAAATCTCATAGGGCGTAAAGAGAGCGAGGTCCTTGGGAATGTGGCACGAATGGGGTCCCACCGTGTGGTACTCCTCGCACGTGTTGTCCTGCCCGTACCACCTGCAGGGGGGGCGTGGAGGAGGAGGCAGACACCTGAGCATCCCTTCTGTCCTCCCCCCTGTCCCCAGGAGGGTCCAGACTGAACCTGGGAGCACAGAGAGTGCAAGCATTGATTGACATCACACAGCAGGGGGACCCCCCCCCCAGGCCACCAACCTCAGCTTATACTTAAGGGAGTAATTGGTATGCAGAAAGGTCTCCCCGTGGGCCCCCGGCGTCCAGCGACACGTCAAATCCTTCATGTTCTTGGACCAGCAGCTGATGTTAAAAGGTTTCTCCGGGGGTACTGCGGAAAGGGAAACGGGGTGCAAGGTGGGGGGGGCGGGGCGCGGAGGGTCTGATGAGGCCATCTAAGCCCCGTCGAGGGAGATGCCAGCCCACGTGGGCATGACCTGCCTGCACCCGCTGTCCTGGGGGTGGGTGGTGGGCGGGGTCTCTACGCCTCATGCCCCGCCCCCCCAGAGACCCGTATGTTGTCTGCTGCACCGTGCCAGCGTGGCGCCTGCTCCACCCCAGGCCAGGGAGCCCTGACAACTGTCACAAAATACCCAGAGGCATGTCGGGGTGTCCTGGGAGCTCACTTACAGCCGACATACAGGCAGGAGCCGGCCAGGATGCTGCCGTCCCGGGCGTGGCACACGAGGTTGTCCCCTGATTGTTGTCTGGACCCGTTGAGGTTGGCCAGGACAAGGGCCAAGGTGGAGGCGTTGAGAGCGCGGGAGAGCTCACGGGGCAGGCGGCGCCCGTTCAGGGTCCAGTAGAGGCCCTCTGCGGTGGCCCCTGGGGGGTCCCCGTGCACTGAGCACGTGGCCTGCAGGGACGAGCCGATGAGCAGCGTGGGGTCCTGGGGGCTGATCACCGCTGTGTCTGGGGGTCAGAGAGGAGCTTCGGTCAGGCCTGGGGTGGGGTCGCCTTGAGTCCTCCCCCACCCCTACATCGTGCCAGGACCTCCAGGACCATCCCAGCAAATGTTTATGACAGCCCCCTATTTTATTTATTTAATTTTTAGAATTATTTCATTTTGTGTATCATTTTTTTGTTTTTTTGGAGAGGCTTTTTTTGCTATAAGGCACGTGCGCTTGCTAGACAGAAAGAGACAGAGAGACAGAAAGTGAGAAATAACCCCCCGGGAGATGGCCACGCCGCAGTCCCTTCTCCTCCATTCTCCTCTCGGGATCTTGGGCACGCACGCACACGCGCCTAGCGTGAGTTTAAGCCACCGGGTCTGGGATTCGAACTGCGGTCGGCTACATGGGAGTTCAGCGACATAGCCATTACGCCACAGCGACATAGCCATTACGCCAACTGTCTCTCTCTGTCTTTCTGGCATGCATCCAATAGGAAAAAACCTCCAAAAAAAAAAAAGTAATAATGATAAATAAAATTAAATAAGTAATTCATTTTTTTTTATCTTTACTTATTTATTTACTTTCATTTGACCAGAGAGAGTGAGAGAGAGAAATAGTGAGAATGGGGACCAGCAGTTAGCATAATGGCTATGTTGCTGGACTCCCACCTAGTCGACTGCGGTTCGAGTCCCGGACCCGGTGGCTTCAACTCACGCCGGGTGCGTGTGCGTGCGTGCCCAAGATCCCGAGAGGAGAATGCAGGAGAAGGGATTCGCAATCGCAATTTCTCGCTTTCTGTCTCTCTGTCTCTCTCTGTCTGTCTGGCGAGCGCACGCACCCTATAGCAAAAACCTCTCCAAAAAAAAAAAAAACGGTGTAATTGACTATGCGAGATCCAGTACCTTAACCACTACGCCACCTGCTGGTCAGGCCCAGTATGGTTTTCACTTCACCAGGGCCAGCATCCACACCTCCACCGACAATCGCGTGGCATCTTTAACCACTAGAGCATGAACCCCGCTTTGGCTTTCCTTCTTTTTCTTGGAGAGCTTTTTGCTATAGGGCGCGTGCGCTCACCAGAATGACAGAGAGAGACAGAGAGACAGAAAGCGAGAAATCACCCCCCAGGGGGGATGGTCACCCCGCAATCCCTTCTCCTCCATTCTCCTCTCGGGATCTTGGGCACGCACGCACACGCACCCGGCGTGAGTTGAAGCCACCGGGTCTGGGACTGGAACCATGGTTGACTACATGGGAGTCCAGCAATGCAGCCATTCCGCCATCTGCTGGTCCTGGCTGTACTTCTTCAAGTCTCTAAAATAAGGTTTCTCATTCCATCCAGAATGGTTATGAGGATCTCTTCATTCATTCATTCATTTATGGAGCACCTACTGTGTACCAGGATCCAGGGTCACCAAAGTGACCAAGATACACATTTCAACCCTTAGCAGTTTTTTTTCTTTTTTCCAAAAGAATTATTTCATTTGGGGACCAGCAGGTGGCATGGTGGCTAAGGTGCTGGACACTTCCACATGGTTGACCACGATTCAAGTCCGGACCTGGTGGCTTGTTTTCTCACTTTCCCTCTCTCTCTCTCTCTCTCTCTCTCTCTCTCTTTTTTTTCTGCTTAAAATAAAATAATGAATACATCACATTAAATAACTCTTTGAAAAATAAATAAATACAATTGGGACCAGCAGATGGCATAATGGTTATGTCGCTGGACTCCCACATAGTCGGTCACGATTCCAGTTCTGGACCCAGCAGCTTAAAACTCACAGGGTGGGGGTGGGGCAGGTGAGTGAGCTCTCAAGATCTGGAGAGGATGGGACCCCCAGTTGGCATAATGGCTATGTTGCTGGACTCCCATGTAGTCGACCGTGGTTCGCGTCCCAGACCCGGTGGCTTAAACTCACGCCGGGCGCATGTGCGTGCGTGCCCAAGATCCCGAGAGGAGAATGGAGGAGAAGGGATTGCGGCGTGGCCATCCCCCTGGGGGGTGATTTCTCGCTTTCTGTCTCTCTGTCTCTGTCTGTCTGTCTGTCGAGCATCCTATAGCAAAAACCTCTACGAGAAAAAAAAAAAAGATCTGGAGAGGAGAATGGAGAAGGGATTGTAGGGTGGCCATGTCCCAGGGGGGTGATTTCTCTCACTTTCTGTCTCTATATCTCCAGGGAGCACTCACGCCCTAGAGCAAAAATACTTGTTAAAAAAAAAAAAATGAGGGACCAGCAGGTGGCGTGGTAATTAGGAGCTCTGGACTCCCACATGGCCAACCGCAGTTTAATTCCCAGACCTGGCGGCTTGCTTTCTCACTTTCCTTCTCTCCGGTTTGGTTTCTCACTTTCTCCCTGTCTCTTGCTCTCTCTGGTCAAATTAAAAAAACAATGAATGGATAAATAAATAATTTTTAAAAAAATAGAAAGGCCAGCAGGTGGCGTGGTAATTAGGAGCTCTGGACTCCCACATGGCCAACCGCAGTTTAATTCCCAGACCTGGCGGCTTGCTTTCTCACTTTCCTTCTCTCCGGTTTGGTTTCTCACTTTCTCCCTGTCTCTTGCTCTCTCTGGTCAAATTAAAAATAAATAAATTGGGACCAGCAGGTGGCATGGTGGTTAAAGGCATTGGATTTCCACATGGCCAACCATGGTTCAAGTTCTGGACCTGGTGGCTTGCTTTCTCACTTTCCCTCTCTCCCTCTCTGTCTCTGTCTGATCAAATTGAAAAAAATAATAGTAATACATAAAGTTAACTAAAATAATTTTTAAATTATAAATAAATAAATAAGGTTGAATAAAATCATTCTTAAAATTTTTTTAAATGGACCAGAGGGAATTATAATAAATAAAATTCTTTTAAAAAATGAAGAGGGAAAAGAACATATACCTAAGAGAATAAATCAGAGGAAAAAAAAAAAACAGAAAGGGGCGAATCAGTCGCAGTTTGGAGAACCCTGGAGGCCTGCCTGGGGGAGTCGACATTTAGCTGCCATCTGAAGAGCAGCAGCTGTGGAAATACCTAAGGAGAGTGTGTCCAGGCAGTGGGACCTGCAAGGACAAAAGTCCGAGGATCGGACCAGTAGAAAAAGAGGTCTGAGAGGTCCGCAGGGCCCCCCTCCACCTGCAGGGAGGAGTTATTCCAGGGTTCTAAGCCGGGGCAAGGACGCGGTTCGATTTGCAGTGTGGAAGGATTCTTCTGGCTGCCCTGCGAAGCGACTGCAGGGGAGCTTGGGGGCAGCTCAGTTTTGCAGAGATGGCCGCCAAAGACCGGGTGATCTCGGCCCCCCGGGAGGCCCCCGGAACGCCAGCAGCAGCAGCCCTTCACTGCCCCAGATGGGCGAGGTGGGGTGGACACAGCGCTCGAGCCCGGCCCTGACGATTTTCCGGGGCAAACTTGGCTCTGTGGCCGTGTCTCCGCTGGAGCCTGGGATCACAGTTGCATTTGGCCCAGGGCTCGCTGGAGGTCTCGGCGTCCGTGCGAAGGAGCTGGCTGAGCTGGCCAGAGGGGAGGAGGCGGGGGCGGCCGGGGTCCACCCCAGGAGGGTGGGAGGCACGGCCACGCCTGCCCACACCCCAAGCCCACTTTCAGCCCCCTGGGGATGGGTCACACCCCTCCTGCACCCCATTGGCTGCCAAGGCCTGGCCAGGGAGGGGCTCTCTGGGGGCAGGAGGGGGCGTTTTGGGGGGGGTGCTTCCCCCCTCCCATCCCCGCCTCGCCTGGGATGGCATGGCTTTACTGTTAGCAGCTGCAGCTGCTGTGCTGGGGAGGGAGATGAGGAGGAGAGGGCAAGGCCAGGCGGGCCTGGACAGGCCAGTCCCCTCTGTTCTGCCCGCCTAGCACCGGCAGAAAAGGTCAGAGCGACGCCTTCTCCTCCTGGGTCATAGCTGCACCCCCAAACAGACACACCTGAGCAGCTGCCTCGCCCTCTCCTGTTCTCAGTTTTCCCGTCCAAAAAACGGGAGGAGAATTATTCTACCTGCCCAAGAGATAAGTCCGTTCATGATGTCCAGGAGATCCAGTATCTCTTAGCATCTAAGAATTACTCAGAGGACAGCCTCTGGGGCCGGCAGGTGGCGTGGTGCTTAAGGATGCTGGATCCCTACATGGCTGACTGCGGTGGTTCGAGTCCCAGACCTGGCGGCTTGCTTTCTCACTTTCCCTCTTTGTATGTCTCTCTCTGGTCAAATTAAAATAAATGAATGAATAAATAAAATTAAATAAATAATTCTTTAAAAAAGACATATCTCTTTTGGTCAGCAGGCGGTACGGTGGTTAAAGTGCTGCACTCCCACGTGGCTGACATGGTTTGAGTTCTGGACCTGGCAGCTTCAAAATCACACCGGGTGCTTGTGTGTGCATGTCCAAAATCCCAAGAGGAGAATGGAAGAAGAGGATTGTGCTGTGATTCTCACATGGCTGACCACAGTTCAAGTCCCAGACCTAACAGCTTGCTTTCTCATAATTTCCTTTCTCTCTCTCTGGTCGCGCCCTATAGCAAAAACCTCTCCAAAAAAAAAAAAAACTAAGAAAAAATCATCTTTTAACAACAAGGGATAAAAATGACAGCCTCTTCCAGTTCTGGGATCCAAGCTGTCTCTGCCTGGCCACCTCCAAATGTCAAAGCATTGGTAAAAAGGACACATATGCATTGCAGGCCAGGCAGGGAATCAGCCCCATACAACCCCCCTGAGCCCTGGGGTGAGGGGAAGGCAAAAGGTTGGCCTTTTTTTTTTTATTTGGGGGGGGGCTTATAGAGGGCTCCCCAAAGCAGATTCCCACACTGGGCTTTGGGACAACCAACCCTCCCCCTCTCCTTTGCTTTCTCTTTCCCCGCAGAGCTGGGGCCTTTAAAAGTTGGGTTTTTTTTTTTTATGTTTGATTTTTTTTTTCTCCCTTTCCCAATCCAGAGCCGCTGCTGTTTATTAAAAAGGAACACCATGTGTTTTAAAAGGGAAAAGTGTGAAATTCTCAGCACGCAGGGCGGAAGGGTGGCCTCTATCCCAGGGTCCCCACCGGGGGGTCCCCCATGTCCCGTCCCCGCTGGTACCTGCACACACTTTATGACCCACCCAGATGCTGGTCAGGTGCTAAGACACACCGTTAAGTAAAAGCATATTGCAGAGGTGTGAGAAGCTTTTATTTCATTTCTTCCTCCTTAAAGGAAAAAACACAGGGACACCACCACCACCACCCTCCGCCCGGGCCCCTACCCTCGCTGGCTGCTCTACCAATGGGGAAACCAAACTTGGTGGTCACCATGACATGCATGGCACTACCCTCCAGCGCTGAGCCATGAAGCCACCCTGGAAGAGCCCAGGGTACCCCCCTTACCTGCCCAGGCACGTTGAACAAGTAAGATTTCCAGCAAGTTGTCCCCCTAAGGGGGGGTGCCAGGACCCTGCCCTTCCCAGAACGGCCACAGTTAAGGAGTTTGCCAACAGCTCTCTGAAGTGTGGGTCAGCCTCGCAGGGGCTGTGCGTGTGCCCTGCCAAACCTGGGGAGGAGCCCGCGCATCTAAATGGGGCGCGTGGAGTGACCGCCAACGTCCCCGGGCCGGCTTTTTCTGCATGCATACCCCTGGATTTGCGTCTCTTGTGGAATGAGTGTGTAACCACAATCGTGTGTGTGTGTGTGTGTGTGTGTGTGTGTGTCAGGGATGGAATGTGTGTGTGCGCGTTCGAGATGGTGTGCGAATGTGTATGTGGGATGCAGTGTGCGCGCGCGTCTGAGGGCGAGGGTGACGGGCCACAAGCCAGTGTCTTTGTGTGTCCTTGGGTGTGTCCCAGAGTGGGTCTGGATAGGAAGACGGTATCCTGGGAGGGGGTGTGGATCGGGTCAGGGGGGCCCCCAGAGAGTGCCTGAGGCCAGGAGTTTCCTACCGAGCAGGGGGTGTCCCGGCCTGGGGATTTTGAGTCCCCAATGGGGTTCCAGTGGGTTCCCCACCCTCCCAAAGTGGGGGCCCTGCGGTGCCTGGGCTTCTTGAGGTTCCCTCTCACTTTCACCCACTTGCTCACAAAGATTTCTCTCCCTCGAGGCGCTCAGCCTGGGCGAGAACGGTTCCAAGAGCCGCTGGTGGAGGGGACTCCGCAGACCCCCGTGCGCCAGGTCCCGTAGGGGGGGAGGGCGGCAGCGCGGGCCCCGCGGAGAGAGGCACGTCCCCAGGGACCCCGGGCTGCGCGCC